AGTAACTTGCAACCATACGCTTGCCCGTACCAATGTAGTGGGCGTTGGTGATAACAACGGATATAAGTAGTATATATGGAGAGGGTGGCGGGAATCATAGGGAATTACCGGTAATGGGTAAGGTTTCTGCCAAGAGCAACGCAGGGGACAACACAGGTGTATTACAGGGGATGCTGCTGATAAGAGTGTATGAAGAGCCGGTCAAGAGCAAATCAAGACAGGAACACAGAGGAAACGAAGAGATTTGCAATGGCTGCGTTAGTGCAAGGAGTACCATATGTAACCACTACCATTCCAATTCTTCCTAATTTACATTCTCTCGTCGAGTTGTCTTCTGTTTCTTCACCAACACGTGATCGCAGTAGGAACATGTACTGCAGAAGGAGTGATTATCCTCCAGTGGTGGCTTATCACAATATGAAATATACGTGCCCATCTTTGGCTTGATTTCGGCCAACGTCATATGAGATACTGTCTCTCTCCATTTTTGAAGTTAGTCCCGACCAGATATAAGTGACTGTCAGAAAAAAACTGCAGCAGACCATCACCGTTGTTGATTCTGTCTCATAGGATACCGCTGCTACCTCCAAGATGCTTTTCCGACTGACTCAGCCTACCTTTCATAATTAGAAACTTAAGTCATCCCCACGATGTAGAAAAATTGACAACTTTTGATAGAATTCATCCCTTGTATCATACAAAGTGTAGTCAGTGGGTGTGTACTCGGAGGTTGTGAATAGGCATCGCATCGACAAGCCTTACAACACTTAGGTTTTGTAGATTTATTCAGTTGGACAACACGTAGATGACTGTTCACTGGTATCCAATCGAGATGTGCACTTTGTGCTCCACAACCTAATGTTATGCCTACACCAGCGAGACCACGGCAACCACCCATTGAATCTCCCTTCGGACACTCAAAGTGGATTTTGTGGGTTCACCGCCTTGGCCAGCTGAGGTCAGTCAAGTGGATGATCACTTTTCGGTCATACCCACGTGTCCCAAGTACACAGCATACATCTATGGCTTGAGATTTCAGAGTTCTAGTGAGCGATGCTTGTTGTCCGATTTGGCATACGGTTCGGACGTTGAGAGCTCAAATAAGAAATCGACAGTGGGTCTTAGGAATCTACGAAACATGTTTCGCTTGCCTAACAACGGTTGTGGGGTATTTAATAAACACATTTTGAAACGTACGCACACTGCTTCGCATCGCTATCAAGTGATAGTCGACGGTAGATGTTACGTTATAAGTCAAGTTTTGATACTTAACGCAATGTCTTTTTATGGTAAGCTACGAATCATTTGATATTCGCGGAATTTAACATTATGCGATTGTTCATGTCAAAGCGACTAGACTAAGGTTAAACCGACGGATTGGAATTCGCCTGTCTACAATAGTCAGTTATAACACGGAAGCAATAGGTGTTCTGTTCTGATCTCAGTATAAAAATCAGTTCATCAAGATGCCATCGTGCTCAAGTGACACGTTCTAGGTGGGACGAAAAACTCGTGTTGATATAAACACTTACCTGCTAAGCAATAAATTCAATGTCAAAATGATGGTGGTGATTGGTGAGATATAAGTATCATCATTAATGTTTCACAAACAAATTTATTTTGTTCGTTTACATTTTATACCACCTAAGAAGAGAGATAGTTTCACGTAGTAGTGTTCTTTTCTAGCTTGAAAACACATGTGCATATTTGAGCAAACCATCATTAGTAAACACTGATAAGATGACGTCATCCAAACACTGAAGAGCACTTCAAAACGAAGTAGTAACCAATCTGATGATCAAAACATTTACTGCTTATCTATAGTTGCAGCAACCAAAATAAAATTATAAACTAATCGATTTCAGTGGCAACTCGTTTGCAATGGTACATATGCTGACTGGAATTGTCTGACGTGATTGATATGTTTCAGTCGATGGAAATTTCAGTACTGAGCTACGGTCAATCAGGTGGTAATTTGTGTGGTTAGTGCTTAATCTCGTATACGTTACAACAATAGACAAAACCATTTCTGGTTGAAGCCAACAACTATCCATTAAAGTACTGAATAGCATAAACATTACAGATCCTAGAAACTGATTGGACATATTTTTATCACAATCAAAAAGGTTGCTCGCTCGCATTTTCGTTGCTAGTCAAGTAGTATTCAGAATAAGCACTAGAAAGTAATGTTTAATTTTTTTGATGATAGTTAGCAGTGGAGTTCAGGATGCACATTTTGTCCTATCAAAGATTCTCCAGCTAGAAATACCTGCATCTTAGTGAGTGATCGTTTTTCCAGTAGGACTCGAACCCGGTACTCACCGCTTTAAGCGCCACTAGGCTACTAAGTCACCATAGTGTCAGTGAGAAAATTATCGCTTACTCAAAAGCGGGCATATCCACCTGACGAGACCTTAATGAGACGAAACTCGTGTTCCCGATTTCATTATTACCCGTCATCAAGCAAATTCCAAAATAATAAATCGTCGCGCAACATCGAGAAGTCCGCATAGGAACACAAATGTAAAAGAGACCGATCTAGTACGACAACGATATATTACGAGTATCAATAAACAGCATGAGAAAGGTTAATATCAGCTTAGACATTACCGCCTGTTTTACAAGTTTCGAGATTTGTGTCCTTCAGACTCGAGAAATATATAGTTAGTGAATTTATACGAAATCAACCACAAAATCCACAGGAATTCGAATTAGGTATTTGCACACTAAACACTCCGTAGTGACAATTACTCAATTCAGTTAGACCTCATAGTGAAACTTCACCGAATTTTTAATTGGAGGCCAGCATAGTGAGACTACAGTATGCAAACACGTTGATACCCCAAACGACGTCAAAATTGCGAGAAAGCTGTACGAAATATGTTGTTGTTCGACACCACTAGAAGTGTATGAAGATTGATTGGTTTCAAGATAGTATTCATTACGAACTGATACAAGTTGCGGAACCATTGAAAACATAGGAGCACTGGACATCTATTTCGTTCACTAACAGACCTCCTAAGCAGTGCGTGACCAGGTCGCCATCAGGAGTCAAATCCAGTACCTTCAGCTTTAGCGGTGAGCACCTTACCATTGAGCCAAATCCTTTAGATATCAAAGCATCTAGATTTCGCTAGCTGTGTGTCCATTATGGTGCATGAAGGAGTTCATTCAAATGAATTGTCTTCAGTTTCTTAGAGTAATTTTTTCGAAGTTTCCAATTGTTCAGACTTCTGTCAAAACTTCTTCAAGGCAAGCGAGTTTTTTCTGATGAATAATTTGATAAAAATTTCAGGTAGCAACTAATGTCTATCGCAAAAGAGGAGTACTAAATAGATTAGTGAGTAAAACTTTTAGCGGTCGAGTGAGTGCTTGATTTCAGTCTCACTCATTGAGATGCACTAACTTTCTGCTGACGAGTAGCCAACTCGACGAAACTTGGGTCCAACCGTCCACTTCTAGATATAAATGGACAAAACCTTTTAAATTATGTAATTTTTAGTTTCTCAAACATTCTTGTCAAACCATTGTAGTGCATCTTCTTGATACCAGAGGCTTAAAATGAATAAACATTTAAATTGTCTAAATATTACGTTAACAAAGGTGCGACAGAGCCACCAGGTTTTTCTAGTTTTGTTTCGACGCATAGGTATATATCTAATGACATTCACCATTTAAGCGTCTTATTGGTGCTGACCAACAGCCACATGCTCGAAATCCATAGTTCAGCTACCTGTAGACAGGTAAGTCTTAAAGTATTCCCCTCGAATAACTTTTTCAACTGCAAACTAGTAAATAAACTGCTCTTTTGAACCCAGTTACTATCCAAGTTTTTTTTACTTGTCTTTTGTTATCAGTAGATACACTTAAATAAGGTAATCATTATTTGGCATTAGTGAAATGGGCACATGTTAGGTAATAACAACATGACTAGCTTCTTTCCCTCTCAAAATGGGTGTGTACATGTTGTGGCTTATTTTAATGATAAATGGTTATAGTATTTGCGCAGTATCTCATGAACTTAGCAAATGTTGTTTACGTGCAAAGATAATACAGGTAATGCAGAACGAATTCCATAATGTTTAAATCGCCAAACCTGGGTGACTAAATTATTGACCACCTATGCTTTTGTCATAATACGCAATAACATTAGACAAATTTTAAAAAGTAAACTCTCTTTTACAATGTCATCAAATTGTTGGTGAGAATTGATTCCGAAAAATATTCCTAAATCTTTACAGATTCCATTAATAGTAAGTTGTGAATTTCTGTTATTTTTTCACAGCTCTTGGTTTAATCACCTCACTTCCCATGACTTTGCTTTAAATACTAGTTCCACCTACGCTTTTGATATCATATTCATGTTCTGCACGTAGACGACAATAACCCGAATCTGTTGCGTAAGGTTTAATAATACTACCTGGCTGTTAGGACCTCGCTAAGTAAAGCGGGATTCGAACTTGTGACCATCGGTTGAAAGTCGAATATCTAGACGAACAGGTCATCTTGTCTACACTTCAACAACATTGAAGTCCTATATAAACTACCGGTACTGTAATTTTTGTTCAAATGATTGAAGTATATATCTGTATTTAAAGAGTTATTCTAAATATCAAAGCTATATTGTTAGGATATTGGGTAGTGACCAGTTATACTGATTAATACTATATGCAATACATGCACTGTGGAAATAATTTCCAAACATGACCCAGTGTCGGCTGTTGTTCATTGGTCTACACATTACTTTCAACTACAGGATCATGAGTCCAAAACTGTCATTTGGCTATTGAGATTTGGACAGTCGATGAGTATCAATAGCTTTCAGACAAGAAATGATGTGGTTAAGAGCCAAGTGCACAGGTTCTCCAGGGATCAAGGAGTATTTATTTTGTCCACGTCCTCCATTAGTACACAGAATGACATATCAGTACTCTACACAGAAACAGGACCACTGTGAACATAAATCAGGTAAATTAAAACAAACGCAACAACCTGCTTACTTTTGTTTCAAGTTCTGATGAAAAGTGATCACCAAAACCGACAGTAACAGTATATACATTTTTCTCGCATTCAGTTTGAACAGATGCCTCAGAAAGACTACGGCTTGGTACTTCTGTTCGATTTGAACAGACCTGCGATGACGACTGAGCGACCGATGGATACCAGTAGGATCTGAGTAGTGATAGCAAGCTTGGAGGTTTACGTAAGTTTATTGCAACCTAAGATCGAAAGGATACAGGAAAAGCAATAAAATTATTTAGTGCAATACAATCGTACAAGTATAAAACATAAAGTGGAAAAATCAGATGGAACTAAGAAATTCTGTTATCGCTGAGCAACTCCTTCAATGACCCTGGAGGGTGAGTCATAGAACCAATAGAAAGTTTGTCGACACTACAAGTCAAAACTCGATAAAAATGCAAAATAATGACACTGTGAATAATCGATATACGCTATTTCATGATTCTGAAAGCCTCTTCAGATAGTTCAGATTGTCCTTAAGTTGAAGAAATCATGAATAAATAACGCAAACACACACACTGTGCTACACCTTAGCATCAATAGGGTTATGTGATTGATGTAATGCTCAAGGGTAGAATACTAAATCACTGCCTTGCAGCTTATCCACCGTCTCAAAGAAAACTCTCTACATGAAACTGAGATTCAAAGACGGAAAATTGCAAATGAAATCCTCGAAAATCACCAGTTAGGATCTGTGAGGAAGACATTTCATGCAGTTAGCCTGAGAATGAAATTTTCTAGTTGACAGTTAGTCTATAAATGCACTAAGCATAGAATACCGCTTTTGACTAACCTAATGTACATCGATGAGTTTACATGTTTCTCTGAAGCAATGCAGATTGACCGCACACAACGTCAAGTTGATAAATGTATTTTGGAACATTGTGTGATTCAGTTATTCATAGAAGAGAGAAAAAATATCAAAATTTTTGTTCTTGAGTACCTCATTACATCTTCAGATATCTGCCCCCTTCCAGTAGTTTTTTCAAAGTGATTTACAGAGTGTTCGTTTAAATTCCAAATGATTTTGACTGTGTCATTTATACATAATCAAATCATTGACGATGTGCAACCTTAAACCTGACCTTTGTGTTCAAGCACATTAAATGTAGTCATCAGCCTTACCATGATCGCGATAGTGATTTTCTTCGGTTTTTACAAACAACCTTTTTTATATTTATGTGATTTCATTGATGAATGATAGATTTCTGTTGGCTTCTCATACTTATGATTGTACAATCTTAATAAAGGAAATCGTCGAAAAGGGAAAGTCTCTTCGCTGTTACGTTTTTTGTTCTATGAATTAATATGGAAACTTTCCATTTGTTAAATGGATTTAGGGACAGCAGAATTCCATCGTTTCTACGCGTTGAGTGTTAAGTAATTGGATTAGTGAAAAGCATCGATACTGTTGATATTAAGGGTTATATTCCCCTCAGCCAGTTACTCCAAGGTAGATAGGATGAAATCTATAGTCAGGGTTTTTCTTATGTGCAAAAATGACCTCAATTTGCCTTGAAACTACTAGGAAGTCTACAAACATTGTTTGTACACAATTATTTATGTGTACAGCTAATACATTTTCTCGGAAACTCCATGGAAATCCGATTGGCTCTGAAGGCATTTAGCGATTTCTAACCTAGTCAGAGATCTAGATGATGGATATTAAACATGCTTAGATATTAACTGAGGCAACCTATAAGATTATTCATATGAATTATTTTAAAATGTATTCATTAAACCAAAAACTGTCATACTTCATGCCATGATTCCAAACTGGGTAGACCGTGTTCTTCGACTTCCTCAGCGAATTGAATCGCTGTAAGACGATAATTTTGTTCAAGAAAATATTCATTAATTAAAAATGATATTGCACGCAGTTCATGAGGTAATGTCTTCTGTGTACCACTATTGAAATTATGCCAAAAATGTGTGGCCAAATTAGAATCTAATTTAAAAATAATAATGGTCGAAAATGAATAAGCAATACTGAATATTGATTGTTTATTCAAACAACAGATTAATAAATGGATCAATCAAAAATCAATAATTGAAAAGAAATATCACGCCACAAATTATCTTACATTACAGATTATTCAGAAATGACAATAAAATTTTCATGAATTAGAAAAGTTGGGATTATTTGCGTTCAGAAAACAACCTGTAAGTTAACCGAAGCGTAAAACCAACCTTCTGAATCACACACTTTAGTCGATGAGTTAAGTTTAATTATTTTTTGTTCGTCTAATAAAAAGCAATGAACAGTAGGAGAGTTTTTGATTAACTATGCCTGAAAGATGTCAAGAGGATCCGGACAGACGTAGAGGCTGATGAGTGAGAAATCAAGAGAGAGTGTACACTTGATGAATCACATCAAAATACTAAAATATGTAGGACTAGAGAACAATGACCTGGTAATGCAGTTCAACACTACAAAAAGCCGAATGGTATGAGATACTTGACCATGTATGTACTTTTAGCTAGACAAGTTTTATAACACAATGAATGTTAGCAACAATGTTGAATATCTGCCTCCCAGTGAGTGATGTTGTTCCTACCAGGACTCGGGCTTGGGAGCGATCGCTTCAAACGCGACGGTGTTATACAAGCAATAACACGAAAACTATACCCGTCGCACAAGAAGTGGCTATCGCGGCTCAGTGGTGTAGTGTATAACGCTCCAGCGTTTGAAGCGATCGCTACCAAGTCCGAATCCCGGTGAGAAGAACATCACTCACTGGGAGGCAGGTACATCCAGCTGATGAGTCCCAAACAGAACGAAATGCGCATCCTGGATTCCACTGCCCATCATTACTATACATAATTAGAACGCAGGCAATATCGAGGCATCTGCACAGGAGCCCATATGCCAACAGAGACTGATCAATTCGGTTCAATCAACGACGGTGTAATACAAGCAATAACACTAAAGTCGAATATCGCTGAACCATGGATTAGTGATATTGAACATTTATTTGGCACCACATCACAATTACTACTATACTCAGTTTTTTCTGTTTAAACACATCATATTTGTAGACGAAGTATTTCTGACTAAATCAACCGCATGAAATAAATGGTAGAAATTCAAATAATCATTCTGCTGTAGTTACATCTGCAACCAACACTCATAGTCTAGTAGAAATTATCTCTCCCTCTCCTCTCTTCATCAAAGACATTGAACTCGTATTTTTGGACACATGCGAAACGAAATCCACCTTAGTTTATTTCACGAAATGTTAGTGTTCATCGAAAAAAGTCTTGCTAAGCAGTCGATAAGGATTCAAACCGGAATTCTTCAGTCTTTTAATCAATCCTTGGGCAATCACCAACCACTAGTTAAATAGCCATCGCTTCCTACTTCACTTGAATTAGATAACAAAGAAAAACAGAGCTATATACCTACTGAAATTATCAGATATTTCAGTAGGAAATTATGTGACCTAATTGAAATCAAGGGGAAAAACTCAAGATGAAAGTTCACTCTAAATCGAAATTAGGAGTGAAGAGGAGTGAGCCCTGTATACCTGGAAAATGAAGCCTATTAGCCACTGTCTCACTGTTTGTTGTGATGAAATGAAATGAAATTAACAAATTTGTTTAACAGAGAATAAAAATACTTCGAATACCTGGTCGACAATTACGTTCTGTCCTAGCGCTCACCTGATTGGTCAGTTAAGCTTACATCGAACTACAATGTGATTGGTCGTCATCACTAAGGTTTATTTGAGCATCCCTTTGTTGTAGGCTTAGTTTGTCAATCATTTGCGATCAACTCTTTGTCAACTGCATTTTTTTGTTAACTTTTAAGGCTTCATCACCACCACTAGGGCGTCATTTCTTTGTCACCTCATGAAGATAGTCTACAGCACAAGGTGTCTAGTTCAAAGCGGCGATATATTCAAAACTTCAAATGTCTAGCACAAAATTAGTGTTTTTATAAAAGTTTTCATCAGTTAAATCGACATCGTTGAAGGCAAACATTGGAGTGCCAACACCTAGATGTAGTTGGTTTTCAGGAGTATGTACGTTAATGGTTGTTTTTGACCTTAAGCGTAACACTTCCTACTACGTTTTTCAGGATACATTGGCTGATTATTAACAAATCGGAAGCTAATTCGAAAACAAAGCGTCATTTCTACGCTATTTTATTGGTTGCTGAAAATCCCATCGACCTTCGATGTTGATATAACGAAGTGCACACTTCCACAGACTCGATAATGAGTCAACTTATTGTTCGTAGGCTAGTCATATATAAGTTAGGATCGAGGCCGGTGGTGACTCATCAGGCGCAATATATACCTAAGGTTATGCAACGCCAATGATTTACCTATCTACTTCCCTGGAACTCAATAAATATACTTCCTTTGTATTATTTTATTCCGTGGCATTATTTTGTAATCATTTTTATACTATTTCTTACCTTATCATCAAAAAGTAACTATCAATTAATTATCGACTATTCCCTTTATTCTGTAGCCTAAATATGTTTTACATCTTTAATTTCTTGTGGACATATGATTCAGCTGTGTACATACATTAACTGTAAACCTACGAAGTAGGCTGCTATTCAAAAGTTTGTTGGTGTCTCGTTTTGTCTTCAGTTGAGAGCTATGGCTAATTGAACTTCCTGTTAGTGGATCATGGACTCGAACTTCACTCTATCTACTGAAATCTGACCAGCTGGGTAGTACCATCCACCCACACACAATATATGTGGATTATTTCCTACTGTGCGGATCAGCACGTGTTTGCTGAGTGCATACTGATTTCAGTTCAGCTGATAACTTTTAAAAGTGGGGAAAGCATGCGCGAATTCGCTGTTGTATACAGACAATAAAGAGTAAGGAAAGTTATAATCACATAACAGATGTTTAAGCTATATTTTCAGTTATCAATTTAAGCATAGGAAAAAATCTAGCAATTTATTTACCGCTTCAACAGGTTGATTATAGTGAGTCAAGCATATCAAAGTAATGAACTATAAGTAACCAACTCAGTCTAATGTGTAGTTTTCACCTACTTAAAATTGAAAAGACTGAATTATCAATTTGCAAATGATTAACAAATTGCACGGTCCACGTTGATATTTCTTACACCTGAGTAGTTTCTTCAATTTCCAAATTATGGTGTCAACAAAGTTTCCGTTGAAAACCACCCGTTAGCCAAGTGTCAGAATGCACTACAACACGAGTAGTACATTTCGATAGTTCATGACACTTCTGTGTAAGATTTACCACACCCTATGATCTTGGTTAACGAGTGGTTTCCAACGGAAACTCTGTCTGGTGTCTAGATCACTCTAATCTGGTTGGTTGGCGCAATCTACAGTTCAGCCTGAGCGGTTTCTAACTCCTAAAGCTGTTCACTAGTATAAGGCTAAATTATTTCAGTGACCATTGAATGTCCATGCACTAGGTAATGAGTCATAACTATTGTGTGAGACTATCTATTGACGCTATCTCGTTGCCCAGACTTCAGCAGGTGCAGTGCAATTCGAGTCTATAGCCCACCGGTCAAAGGAAAGTTAACTGTCAAGACAACTACCGAGACAAAAGTGCAGTTAAATCCTTCCACAAATATAAAGTTTGTGTTAGAGCAAATACTTAGCTATTTATGTCTTCAAACATTCTGCTTGGTTGAAAATAATACCATAAGTCAATGATCCAACCCTATGGGACTGGTAGACAGTTGATCAACGTAATTGTGTGTGCATAATATTTGTAATTAGTTCACGACATATATACTAGTTGAAATGTGTAGTGTAGAAATCACCTTACTTATACTCATCAATAACTACCCTCCTAAATTAATTAATAAATTCCTTCGCAGTCGTAGGAACAATATGACTAACAGTAGTAACACAGGCATTAATAATAGTAATAAGACCACTACAGTATTACAATACAAGGAAGGCGAGTCAAAGATACTACGCAATATTCACAACAAGGCTAAGAGTAGAGCGCCATTTAAACAAACAAACTCATTCTGAAACAAGCTTTGTACGTTAAAATATCCGGTTGATTAAATTAGCCAGAATAACTTAGTTTACCAAACATTTTGCAACAATTACGAGGTCAAATAAATAGGTCAAAGTAGTCGACCAGGGTCGATGGGGCTATCCTAGTACAGAACCCTAGCCGGGTCAAAATTATTAGATCCTAGTAAGATAAGGAATTTAAAAAAAAGCTCAGCTATAGCTATACACGCGATTACACACAACCACACAATAATATGGGATACAGTGATAATCTTGAAAACTAACCTAGTCAGGTGGAGGGAAGAATTGATAGCCGAATCTTTGTTTATCGAACTAACACTAAACACATGTAACAGGGATGACTCAACACTTGTCACAGATACGTGAGAAATTCTAAGTACATAAAGTATACCTTAAAGTTGTGGAGTTATCCTGATGTGACCATAGACAATAAATTGTGTCCGGAACATAGTCCACTAAATAATACTGTCCCACTGTATGATGCATCTAATAAATCAACTAAAATGGAATTTATTTTTGAGATGAATGGGGATTTTTAATTTGAAAGCAGTATTCATCATGGACTGACATCAGTCGGGGAACCACTGGAAATCTAGGATCACTGGATAGCTGTTTCGTCCTAGCAAGGGACTCCTCAGCAGTACATACCCACGACCCGGCTGGGGGTCGAATTCAAGACCTTCAGGTTTCACGGCGAACGCGTTAACTATCCAGCCACTGGGTCGGTTTCCAGTGGTCCATCCACCCAATGGCTGAATAGTTAACGCGTTCGCCGTGAAACCTGAAGGTTCTGAGTTCGATCCCCAGCCGGGTCGTGGGTGTGTACTGTCAAGGAGTCCCAAGCAAAGACGAAACAGCTGTCCGGTGACCCCAGGTTTTCAATGGTTCCCCAACTGATGTCAGTCCATGATGAATACTACTTCTGAAATGGAATTGTTTACATTCTA